GTTTAAAGACGACAAGGTGGATGTTCTGGAGGCCCAGTCAGAGTCCAGACCTCAATCCAAGTGAGAGTTTTAGCTGGACTTTAGCTGTTTACTAATGATCAGAGTGAAACCTGACAGAGTTTGAGAACTTTTGTAAATAAGAATGAAGTCAGACTGCAGCATCCAGATGTTCAGGTTGACTGAGCTCAACAGGGTTAATACAGCACAGCAGACGAAGGTGCTTCTATTAAACATGAACTTGAATGAGGTGAAAACTTTTCAAATCACTTGTTTTACGTTTTGTATTTTTGAGTAGCACTCTTTCAGTACCACAGCTGCTTCTACTCTGTGATTGCTGATCGTATTTTTTCCATAAATCACAACTTCTGACTACAAAAACGGCTGACTTAAATGATTCCAGACAAGTTTTGTCTTTACTAATAACCTCTGCAGTGTGAAGAAGACAGACCGTTAACTTTTACTCTGTTTTCTCTCCTTTGCTTCTGTTTGCAGAACACGATGAACCTTCCTCCAGACAAGGTGAAGATCCTCAGTCAGTACGACAACGAGAAGAAGTGGGACCTGATCTGTGACCAGGTGGATTATTGTTTCTAAACCGATGCTGCCAACACGCCCACACCTCTGTCACGCCAACTTATGATCAGTTCATCTTTTGTTGATGTTTTGTTTTGAATTTGTGCTCTTATAATTTCAGTAGATAACAAACCCTACTCCCAACAAGAACCACATTTTCAGCTTCAGATGTATTTATTTAGTCTAAAAATGCGCCACCAGGTTCACGCACGGTTCAGGAGACTTGAGGAGAAGCTCTGCGGCTCTATTTCAGTGTGTTGTAAGTGGGCCGACTACCAGCTCTGAGAAACCACTACAACCCTCTCAAACACACACGAGGAAGCTCATCAATATTGTACATCACCATAGCAACCGCGGGACGTCCATAACAACCGGCGTCCTGATGGGAGACTGACAGAAGACACCTGCCGCCGTCACACAGCGACTCGGTCGGCTTTTTATTCAGCAAACTGTTTCAATGAGCCGGCAGAACGTATGATTCAAGTGAAAGCGGCGCTGACGCAGCTGAGCCGAGCTCGACGAATCGTTTCAGGAGGCTCGTTAAGACGCAGCAGATTTGCATAAGAGACGCTGCGTAATCAGAGTGTCTGTTTGAGACCCGGCTGAGCTCTGCCCTCTCCGCAATCAGACGTGATTAGAGCTTTGTGTGTTTCTCTGCTTCTTCAGGAGCGATTTCAAGTGAAGAACCCGCCGTCGGCCTATTTGGACAAACTGAGGAGCTACGTGGATCACGGAGGAGTCAGTCGGAAGGTACAAGCTCACGTCTCAGCTCCAAGAATGAACTCAATCAAACCTCTTATCCACATTTTTATTGATAACATTTTACAGCTTTTTGTGGCCGGAATGAAAACAGCAGCATTTGTTTTACTATAGATAAACTGTTCAGTGAAGGAAGCAGTGACCCTGTTTGCTTTAGTTGTTGTATTACAGTTATTAAAAATGACGACACTGCTTTGACACCTCGATGCTCTCATACGTCACAGTTATAATTAGCTACAAATACGCAAAAATACCCACCAAAACCCAGATATCACAGGAAAGTATTAAGTCCTGCACAGGATAAACTTCACCTCTGTAAAACTATGTTGATATTTAAGTTTTAATTTAGTAGAAAATACACTGTATTATTAAAAAAACCTTCTGAACAGCTAGCACGAGTTAGCCACTGCTAACCTTGAATAAATCTACATTTACGTCCGTTTCTCGTTAACTGTTGTTCGTGTAAATCTAATTAAACTGAAATATCAGTCTGAAGGTTTATCCCATCAAATCCAATCATGCAGGCAGGAAGAGAAATGGCTAAAGCGGTCCGGCTAACCTAGCTAGCCATGCATGTCAATAGCTGCCATTTTAGCTTCTAACTCTTGGAAATACCCCGATTTGACATGATCACGATATTTTATATAGATCATATTTAGATGTTTTAACTTTACAATGATTTATTTTATGAATTAATTTCAGCGTACCGGCACAGGAACGCCAACACACAGCTAACCTTGGCTAATGCTAACTAGCCGAATGTAGCATGACAACAGATTAGTTTCTGAAAAGTAGATTTTTTGGGGGGAATATAAGCCACATTGAAGCATATACTGAACTCTATTAGTGTTTAATAATGTATTATTGGTGCTATATGACCACATAGTTAGCCTTAAATTTCACTGAGCAAAAAAAAAGTTCTAAAAGTGAATCAACAAGCAATAAAAAAACAAAACAAAACAAAAAACCTCAATCTGGCAAAATGTGATGTATCAGTTTAAAGTTCCACAGATACCACTTTAATATCTATATCCCTTACAGAAGGTCAGATAGTGTTTCTAAAAGCACACGGAGGAGATCTTTGTCTTCACTGAAGATACAGATGTTGAGACAAATCACTGCACAGAAATGAATCTTATATATTTTCTCATTAATTACCTGACTTCCTGCTTACCTTACATGTGTTTCCTCAGTTTAAGAGACGCGTCCAGGAGTCGACCCAGATCCTGAGAGAGCTGGAGATCTCCCTGAGGACCAATCACATCGGGTGAGTCCCGCTGCAGGTCGTGTTTGGGAGAAAAACTTCAAACTGCGTCAGAGGAGAGAATCTGAGGAAAAAACACAAATTAAACCGAGTTCAGTACGTTGGCTGGACATCACGGTGTGAAATGTGCACTGAAGGCTTTTGTACATACATGTAAACACAAGATCAACCGTTTTTAAACCCACAGCAGCATTACAGCAGTTTGTCATGTAAACGTGTAAAAATAAACTAAATATATACATAAGTCCTGTTGATACTGCATGGCTACTTCCACATACTTGCACATGAATATATTTTTTAAAACAAAGGTATTGCACAGATTCTTTCATAATTAGAAAAGGTGATGTCGCACAGGGTTTCCTAAATGTACACAATATCTATAATGTACAGGTTTAAATGTGCTGGTATTGCAATAAGTAATATTTGTACTTCTGTGCTTTCTTGACTGATGTTTGGGACAAGACGAGGAGGTTTTTCCGTCTCTAAGTCACGTATTTGCATTAGTTTTAGTTAAATAAGGCCAGTTTTGGATTCTTAAATGTCTCTGTTTTGCTCCTGCAGCTGGGCTCAGGAGTTCCTGAACGAGGAGAACCAGGGTTTGGACGTTCTTGTGGATTATTTGTCTGTCGCCCACAGCGCTGTCACGTAGGTATCAGCCCAGCTGTGTGTGTTTTATCTCTTTCCCTGTATTTAACAACCCAGCTCAGGAAGGTCATTAAAGTTCATTGCTTCAGTCTGATGGTGAACGCAGATTGTCCTCCTCGTGACTCTGATTCACAGGTATGACGTGGACGCTCTGGAGAACGGGACGCTGCCCACGGAAAAGGGCAAAAACGTGGATAAGTCAGTGGAGGATCTGAGCAGAAGTGCCAGTAACTCACCTACTCACAGTGCCTCGAAGGCCAGCAAGGCCTTCACAGTCAGGTACGGCCAGCACCGGACCGCGTGGGCTTTATGTTCTGGTGTACAAACACTCAGTTTCAGTGCAGTGGTGCAAGAACACCAACACACAGCTACTGTTGGCTGAAGCTAACAGATAATCCTGCTAAAGCTAACTAGCATTGTGTAATGTATTAGCAGTAGCGGCCATTTTTAGTTTCTGAAGTTTAAGCAACATTAAAACACATTTATATATATATTATGCATACACACACACACACACACACATATCCAAAGGGATCAATAACGTTTTATTTCTCTATTAATGTTAAATAATGTATATATTTGGCACTATATGAATATAATACAAACACTTTATTGATTTGTTGATGTTAGGGGATTGTGCTTTCCAGCTTTCCAGAACAAAAGCAAGAAAATTAAGTTAAATATCAAGTTTTTAGCAATCAAAGAATGACCTCACATGGATGCACATACGTGGACACCCAAGACTTCTCCCACATGTTGGAGTTCAGCAACTTATTTAAACCCCATTCACAGTAAAGGTCCTACTTTGAGCCCCTTTTGAATGTCTCATAGTGTCCCCAGTGTTTTTTACGTAGCTTGAAATACTTCAAACTGGTTCATGTCACCACTCCTGGTCCTTGTCCAGCTCTAAATGAGCTGAAATCCAATGAGCTGCTGCTGTCTCCGCCCCCTTCAGGAAGAAAACTCTCCATGTTTGTGTGAAAAACAGTTGACTGGGACTTTCTACTGCTTCCAGCTTTGTCCCTTGTGATTATTTGACGAGGAATTCTCTGAATTCACAGCACAGTTGGTGTTTTTAGCTTCTGTGTTTGGCTAATTTGTCAGCGTTGCATTTAAAATATCAATATTTTAGCCGTGAAGAACCACGAATTGGGAAAGTGTCTGAAGTGACTGCTGGTTAACATGTAATGTGAAGTCATGAGGTCGTACTTTTCCTGCTGTTTGACAGCAAAAACCGACAAATAGACAACAACAGCTTTACTGGGAATAAAGATAAAACATATATTTTTTAGACAATCGCTCCCAATCCCCTCCGTAAATTAAGTTATGAATGAAGGACTGAGGATGTCGCCACCGTGATGTCTCCTGTTGGTTTGTTTAGAAACCTTGAGTCTGAAATTTGGTTTGTTGTTTTTTTGAAACCAGACAAAATGTGTGAAAACTCATGAACTCAAGGCAGCTACGTCCTCAAACATCCTCCAATTTATCGTCCAGTTTCCTCTAAACGGGAATCTAATTTACGAAATTAGCATCATTCTGTATTGAGGAAGTCTTGAAACTAGTGATTGAGACCATAAATTTAACAGGAAAACGTTCACCGAGGCAACAAAACAACCGACTCCTGCACTCTGACTGCATTTTGCAACTCGAGGAGTCGCCCCCTGCTGGCTGTTAGAGGAACTTCTCACATCCATCTCGTATATACAGTCTGTGTTGAAGCCAAAAGTTCCCAACAATCTGTATGTTTAAACTTAATGCGTGATTATTATCCACAATTACAATTGAATTTTATTTTTGCTGCTTCAGCCTGAAAGTGAAAAGTCGTGTTTAGTCACATTAGCTCAAAAATAATGAGTCTCAGGAAGTAAAGCCGGTTGTTGGTGGTTCGATCTGAAGCTCCTGGATGGTGAGCGCCTCGGGTGGCAGCAAAACCAGAGAACTTTGTAAAGGTTAAACGAGCTGCTTACGATTCTGATATACAGGTTTTTAATGACTGTCGAAGAAATAAAACGACTGTAATGAGTTGTTGTGGGAGTGTTTCAGTGCTTAAACTACACCAGGTTCAAGTTTAACTGCGAGTTACTGGCTCGCAACGCCGCCAATGAACTCGTAGCTCGTGAGCAGACGCATGTTTGCCTTTAAAATCAGACGACTGCATTCCTCTCATAGCAAATACATAGAAATGTGGCTGTCGGCCTCTCGCTCAGAGTGTGAACGTGAGAAACGTCAGCAGGTGAAGAGACGCTGAAAATAGTCACAAGAGGGGCTTGATTGATGACTTCTCAGTGTTTTGGTGGGACGTGATGGTCGATGTGTGGATTGATTGTGTTGTAAACTCAGGAATAAATAATAATAAACTCAATGCAGCTGCTGTTCGTTAAGAGCAGGACTAAGAAGGGACGTTGATTCATCCACATTATGACAAATTATTGTTAAAAACACTAAGAAAAGGAACTAAAGTCGTAAATAATTCTGGGATTTTTGTTCCTACCGGTACGCTGTCACAGTTTAGGAGGTAAATTATTAAATGATGCTCGACGTGATGTTAAAAATATCTCCAAACGTCCTATTTTTACCTCAGTGAACTCTGCAGACACCGAGCAGGTAATAATAAACACGTCTTAGTGCAGCTTTGATTTGTCTCTGAACCAGAAAAGCCCTGAGGAGCTCTCGAGTCGTGAGCCAGAAGGACGACGTTCATCTCTGCATCATGTGTTTACGTGCCATCATGAACTACCAGGTATTTACGGCCGCCTGCTCGCCAGGTTTTTACGGTTTATTGCGTTCTGTGCTCGTTATGTCGATGCTGTGGAAATTCGTCTCCACAGGGCGCAGAAACAAACCATCAAACGTCAAGTTATGTTACGACTTCATAACGACAAACTTTCTCTTCCTTTCATTCCAGCTGATTAGATTTTTAATTACAGGCATCAAATCAAGTTTTTTTTTCTCCCAAGAGACACAAAATCATAAGTTTGACTTGTTTTTTTTTCCAAATTAGGGGACATTAAATCCAAATTATAATTTCTAAGTCAAATGATGTTTTTCTGAGACGTGAGTTAAAAGTTATATTTTTGGGTCGAATCACTTATAATAATTAAGGCAAATGACGTCCTAATTATGAATTTAAAAACAGATGTTCTATGTTTTTTGTTATTTTACAAAACAAATAAAGAACTTTCGTTTTTTAGATTGAGAGCCAGATTAAATTTAGATTAGGATTTTCTAAGTGGAATCACTTCTAATCAGGTGAATAATGTCATTAATATGAGGCAAACACATGTTGTCCATGTTGACATTATTAGACAAAGTCAAAATCTAGATTTGAATTTAAAACAAATTAAGAACTTTGACTTTCATTTTCCACATTTTGGGTCCATTAAGTTTAAAATTCAGATTTTCACCATCAAAGTCCAAATTTCAGAGTTTGATTAAACAGTTTCACTAATTCATAAGTATGAGGTCATAAGTTTGACTTAAAATATCTAAATATTGACTTATTGTTAGAATATTGAATTATTTCACTTGATTTTTAAGTTGAACTTTTACTAAAGTGCTTCATGCTGCATGTTTATTTCTGTTGTTTGTAATATTTCAATCTAACAAATGAGCAGATTGTTGTCGTTTAATAACAATGTGAGAAATGTAAAGAAATTACATTGATTAGACGTTACAAAGAGGTTACGGAGTAAAACATAAACTACAAGGACAGATAAAAGATACAGACACAGAAACACGTACAAAGAACACGAGTCGACGGCGTTTTAAACGTGACTCTTCTGGTTTTTGTTTTCCAGTCGGGGTTCAACCAGGTGATGAAACATCCCTGCTGTGTCAACGAGATCACGCTGAGCCTCCACGACAGAAACCCCAGGTACTGCCGACACGACACAACTCCACAGAGTTCAGCAGAACTCGTTATTAACGCCTTCGTTAATGTAGAAATCCTCCAGATCAGGAGTGAAGTCAGTCTAAGTGCTAATATCACACACTAATGAGAACCTTTGATCCAGACCTGTCGGCAGGTTTTGGGTTCAGAGGGTTTTTTTTCAAAATGTTAAAACGAAACGAAAATAATTAGAAGGAAAATCTTCACACTGGAAACCTGCCGTCATGAAATATTTAGAAACTTTAAATAAAAAACGTCTCATTTTCAACATTTTCCTGCAGACGAAGCAACCGACTGTTCCAGCTGTGCTTGTTTCTAACTTGTGTGTTTTTCATGCTAACGTCTTAATTTGTAAAGTAACTGAGTAACGCACAAGTACTGGAGTAAATGTACTCAGTTACTTTCCAGCCGTGACCTAAATGTGCTTCCATCGTTGCTCTCAGGACCAAAGCTCTGGTGCTGGAGCTGCTGGCGGCCGTCTGCTTGGTCAGAGGAGGTCATGACATCATCCTCTCCGCCTTCGACAACTTCAAGGAGGTGAGACGACGGTTGCCGTGGTGACCGGCAGCCATTTACAACACAGTCGTGAATCTGTTCGGCAGCCGGTTTACGGAAGTTTGAGCGTCTCGGGGTTGAACTCGATTTAATCAAACGCCAGCTTTCACGTGTGAAACGAGGCTGAAGATACGCAGAAGGTTTCACACTTTCAAAGAGTTGGACCGATTTAAGCGTGACTCGTGAAAACATCTTGTTTCTTTGATTTCTTCCTGTAAATTAATTTCTTTGATCAAACCCACAAAACAAAAATAAATAAAAGTGATGAAAAATGATGCTCAACACGTTTAGAATATTCATATTTTGGGTTTTAATCTCCCCAAAAAATCAAGAAAGATCCTCCAGCTGGACTTAAATGGGGCTGAAGTAAGTTTAATTAATGCCAAGTTGTTATTAATTACGATTTAACCTTTAGAGGGAATGTGATTGGTTGATTCGTACATTATTAATGTATTTATGATTTACTCCTTAAAATTGTTCTTGTTTTATGTAACGCTTTGTTCATTTACTGTTTATATCCATTTATGGTTATTCAAAGTGCCCCACAGGCAAACGATATACAAATTAAATTAACTAAAATAGAAATTAGAAACAGTGGACAGAAGTTGATTAGAGTGCACAAAGATTTATCGAATAATTAAAAGTGATTAAAACAGCTTACAAAAAAGACAAGATAATAATAATAACAATAGTAATAATAATAATAATAATAATAATAATAATAACAAAGGAAATAAATTATTTAAAATGAAGTGAGTGTAAGTGCAGGTAAGCTGAATAATTCTTTATTTTCCACAAAGCTCTACAAAACCCTTCTTTCCTACCCGACCGTACAGACTTTTATGTCCGCTGTGTGTTTCCAGCATCAGTCGGGATGACTCAGCGGCACTCAGACAGTATTTTAAACCTGAAGCCTGACGTAGTTCAGGGTCGCAGCGTTCCACCGACTCCTTTAATGCAGGTTTAGGGGGAACCCAGAACAAACGGCCCCGACAGCTGCTCCATCCAGCTGTTCCGCCACCAGACGACACCGACCCAGGAGGCGGAAATATGCGACACACGTGTCGGGTCGCCTCTGACCCTCCTCGGCCCGAGAAGGCGGCAACTGTTGCCTCCTGCAGACAGACGTGAACCTGAACTACGTGGGTTTATTATTAGTCACGTCAGAAAGCTGCCCCGCAACCTCCTTCTAATTCTGGCTCCAGATCCAGAAGCACTTTTAACAGCATTTAACGAGACCCAACGGCTGCTTTAGTGCCGTTTTACTATTAAATATGATTAATCATTGAATGCAAGTGTTGACGTTTGAGTCAGACCTTCGGCACAGTGTGGGTTTACTCAGGAGGAGCATGAATGTGGTTTTAATTTGCTCACCTGAATGTAAACGCTCTTAAATTCAAATTCCCTTCGTCTTGGACAAATGAACACCATAAACTGATGCATAAAAGGAATAAATTTGGTTTTGCGTGACTTCAGAATGCAGGAAGTGACGTGTTCATGTGTCCTCACTGTTATTTAAATGCAGTAAAGGGAGTCAATAACTGGACTGTCATCCAAGAACAAAGGGTTTGGTCCAGAGTGGGGGGGCGTTGTTTTCAGGTGTAGTGTTCAGTGTTTCATATTGGTCATTGTTTGGTTGGTTTAGGCTCCAAAACTACTTGTATTACATCAACCGCATGTTAAAAGACGAAATTCTACATCAAACTACTTCCTCATTCATTTGGACGATGAGTCACGTGACGAAAACAACGTTTTTAGTTGAACTGCAGGAAGTGTTTCCACACAAACAGACCGGCTCAATACAATGACAGTGAGCAGAGGAGCGAGTTGTTGACGATACACTCGGCACGGTGAAGCATGAGCAGAGTTTGTAGGAATGGAAGGAGTCAAATATCTTTAGTGTGTAAAAGTGTTGTATGTGTTAAGTTTGGTCAGTTTTTGATGTTTTCTTTGTAACGTGAACACAAACTCCATAAACTGCTGCTTATTTCCACAACTAGCGAGCATGGAGGAGCGCTGGCACTCATTTAGAGTTTGTGTCCAGCTGATGAACACAGGTACAATATTTAGCTCTGGTTTTGGAGCACATGCTGCTCTTTAGCTGCTAAACGCTCCACTTTGTTCACCAGCTAGCTTCTAACTGCGTCTGTCTGCCGTTTGCTGCTCAGTCGGTCGTGTTAAGTGGCGTATTAGAGAATTATCTCTGAGAAATGGCACCAAGGGAGCAGAGAGAGTGACGGAAAGTGGTGAAGTTCAAGGTGGCCTGCTAAACAATGAGCTGAAGGTCTTTATAAAGTGTTGGGAGAGACCTTCAGCGTGGTGAAACACCTTTCAGAGGAGAGTGAAGGAAGCAGTTTGTAGAGACGTAAATAGTAAAACATCTATAATGTGTGGAGCTACTGTTTATTCTAGTAGTGATAACACCTGAGGACACGTGTTGATTCCAGGTTGTTTTCACTGTTTGGAATAAAAAATAAATTGAACTTTTTTTGTCTTTGTTTCCTGATTTATGGCAGAGTCCTGCTGCACCGAAGGCAGCTGCTGGAGTTTGAACAGAGGTGCAGGACTTTCTGTTGCAGTAAAAAATGAAAAGGAGCAAAAGACGCCCAGAAACTGCTTGTTGGGTCAATAAAGCAAAAAGAATGAAGTGATGAATTAAAACTTCTCCATTAGTACGAACCAGACTGTCTGGCATCACCGTCCCTCTGCTGCCAGAGTAAAGCAGCATCAGGTGCCACAGCAGAGACTCCAGTATCACTGCGAGCGCCGCATGTTTTGCTGCAGCAGCAGCGAGTGTGTGGGCAAGTCGGAGGAAGATGTAGAGAGCGATAGAGGCGGTAACGTGGAGGCCGGCGGGCCCAGAGCCAGCAGCTGGTTCATGTGTCCCTCAGCAGCAGCCTTTGTTTTGGCTTGTGCAGCCGTCAGGTTGCAGCGCTGCATTATTTAGTGGACATGAGTGGGCAAAAAGGGGAAGGCAGGGCAGAACACGACAACCGGGGAGACGGGGAATCTGCTGAGGAAAACACAATTACACCACCGTCGCCACATTTTCTGGGTTTCACTCCCAACAAACATGTGACACGGCGGCGCTCGGGGAAAACACGAAGCCTTGTTTGCTCCTGCAGAAGGAATCACGCCGGTTTCATTACAGTCATTGTTCTTTCTGTTTGTCCCAGTCTTCTCTGCAAACAAACTCCGTGCGCGCTGCTGTTTAATTAGATTGTATGTTTGCTGAGGTATTTATGAAAGCCGCTGCGTGACCTGAGCAGCAGAGCAGAGTGGATGATGTGTGTGAACACACTGCCCCCATGTGTGCACTCACCAGTAAACCATCAGCAGCAGGTCCTGAAGCCTTCGCCTACATTTACCAGAGATGACCACCGAGCCTATAAAAACAAGAACCAGCAGCTTTGTGGTGATTCATTTCAACCATCTGTTGTTGTTTTTCAGGTTTGTGGAGAGAAAAGCAGGTTCGAGAAGCTCATGGAATATTTCCGCAATGAAGACAGCAACATCGACTTCATGGTGAGGATTCGTTCACTTATATGCACAAAAAACACACATTTCACTGTGTTACTGTGACCAACAGTCACTTGACAAACACTGGATCAATATCATCACTGCAGCATGGCTCAGAGACAGTGGACAGAGGAGTAGGTTGTTGGATACAGTCAGCTGATGGTGGAACATCTGTCTGGAGTTGTGTGAAAGATGTTCAAGAGGCTTTTTTTTTTTTTTCCGGCCACATGTTTATATAGTTTGTGCAGTGAAACGCAAAGTGCCTGTCCTCAAGGCTGTGCAACAACAAGAAGACATCATAAAAGAACAAATCTTCAGAAAATTAGAAAAAAAAAATGTCACTGTTTGTCCAGGCTGTAAAAATATAAACAGGAATATCTATAGCGTGTAGAACCAGCATCATCTCAGCGCTGCTAGCAACACATGTTGATGAATTATTTAAAGACATTCAACTTTTTTTTTTTAAAGCTTTACGGTTTTCTAACTGATGTATACCGACGTAGAAGACCTCTCTGTCCTTCTAGTCGTGGTTGTTCTGTTTCCATAGAATACACAATATGCCCAAAAGTATGTGGACACCAAAACACCAAGACACCTGAACACGAGCGTTAAACACTTCAGTTTGCTGTTGGAACCAGATTTTATGCCTGAAAACTGTGTCGGTAAAAGTAAAAACATTATTAAAAGCTCAGAATAAATGAAAACTGAAGTAAAACCAGGATTTCAGCTAAAATTAGGTTCAAACAATCTGAACTCTAAAAACTCAAGGAGAGAAAACTCAAAAATTCTCACAAATTATAAGAACAGAAAGAGAAAATTAAAGTTGAAATAAACTACAAACCTGAAACCAACATTTTCTTTAACAGGTGTGACCAATACTGCTAAAAGAAATAGTGACACTACATGATATAGATATTTAAGTACTTAACGTTTGTCTCCAAACTGCTCATCATCTCTCCAGAGATGTTCCACCATCAGCTGAATGTATCGTCCAACAACCTGCTCCTCTGTTTCTGAGCCATGCTGCATTTATTTATTGATCCAGTAGGTTTCATTTTGCTCTTTTTTAATCTCTGAATGTGAATTTCAGTCACGGTGGTCTAGTGGTTTAGTGGCTTCTCGTTGTACTGAGGAGCCACGTTATGGTTTTTACAGAATACGATCAGAGCAAACTGTTCATTTTTGGTGCGTTTTTAACTAAAATGTGTAAAATAAAGTGATTTTAATGAAATATAAGCTTAGATTTGGTCGTTTTTTTGTTCCTGCTGAAACAGCATGTCACAACAGATTCATAACATGTGAATATGACAGTACTTCCTGTTTCTATCAGTTCTGGCTCTGGGTGTAATTTAAAAGTAAAATCTGTCCTCAGACGTCCTGGGAGTCGGTGTAAGCAGGAGCCTTGTGCTCATGTGTCGTGGTTCTAATTAAAAACTTGGCAGCTTCGGCTTGTAGTCGAGGCTGCTGCATGTGAAACAGGTTCAGTGTTTCCTCCGTTTGTCCACCAGGTGGCCTGCATGCAGTTCATCAACATCGTGGTTCACTCAGTAGAAAACATGAACTTCAGAGTTCACCTGCAGCACGAGTTCACTCAGCACGGACTGGACGACTACCTGGAGGCAAGTCCACCCACTGAGCCTGTAGATGTTGTATTTATGACAGAGTGGAGACTCCCTACCTGCACGAGGATTTATATATGTTTCTGATCTGTTCTGTCCTGTGTGTAGAAGCTGAAGTTCACAGAGAGCGACAGGCTGCTGGTGCAGATTCAGGCCTACCTGGACAATGTGTTCGACGTCGGGGCTCTACTGGAGGACGCAGAAACCAAGAACGCTCTGCTGGAACACATGGAGGAGCTGCAGGAACACAACACACAGGTGGATACACAACACACACACAAACCACAACACACTGACTACAGCCTGACTTCATGTCCACGTGGCATATTGTCCATATCTGCTGTAGCTCTAAACCAGCGGATGGATATGCAGGTTGTTCGGTCAGACATAGTCGCCTCAGGTAGAGATTTATGATACAGTAAAACGTCCACTCCAGGCTGCTAAATTCTGTCCCTTTAACAAACGTTTATTATGCTTCATGCAAAAATCTACTTCTTTGGAAGGTTGCCTCAAAAAATGCAGTTCTGACTCTTTATTCCCTAAAATCTCTAAACGGAGGTGGAGGCTGCACAGTTAGCTTAGCAACACAGCAGCCGCCTGAATCAGAAACATGTAGACTGAAATAAAACAGAAGCATCTTTTATTTACCATTTTCCTTGTTTCCTGTATTCAAACTAGTTGATGTCTTGGTCATGTTGGAGTTTTTGTTTCTTGCAAATGATGCAAAAACTGATCATAACGAGAGAAACAGATTCTCCAACTGCAAAAAGCAAAGAACGAAACAAGATAAACTAGTGGTGCTAAAGCTAACTAGCTTAGCTTAGCTTAGCAGCGTAGCAGTAACTTCCAGCTCTGCAGCCTCTGACTGGGAAGTTTCACATTTTTATTTGATTTAGCTACTAAATTATTTTCTAAAATGAGCAATAAGTGAAGGTTTTACACATCAGCTGCACAGTTCAGATAAAAGCCTTCAGACTTTACATCATGTTTTCTCATCATCACTGTCTGTGAAGATCCTCAGTCATCCAGCTCATGGTTGTTCTGGTAGTTTAGTCATAGCAGCTGGACTCGCTTAAGACGTTTCATCCAAGAGGCTTCATCAGCTCTGACTGACTAGTTGGGAGTTCCAGATATCCTTCAGGAGCCGTTAACACCTGAGTTTCAGTTAACGGGGGGGAGGAGCAACCAGCCCCCAATCTGGAACCCCAACTCGTCTGATGAAGCCTCTTGGATGAAACGTCTTCAAGGAACTCAAGCGAGTCCAGCTGCTACGATTAAACTATGAGAAGATTCATCATCACTGTGTCTCTTGTTGCTGCTCTTTGTGTAGAAACATGCATGAACACTTTGCTCTGTCCTCACAGCTGAACAGCAGACTTCAGGAGAGCGAGAGGGAGGCGATGGAGAAAGTGTCCGACTTGGAGAAGAAGCTCATTCAGACCACCAAAGAAGTGGAGCTGCTCAAGGTAGAGAACAGTTTACCTGCCGAACTGAAAGAAGATAGAAGGAAACTAGGGTGTTAGAACCCACTTCAGGTCCATTAAAGTTACGATAATGAAGCACTGAAGGGGTTTAGCCAGCAGCGGGCGCCGTGACAAAGACTTCTGAGACGCTTAATGACCTCCGACCAAAACTCGAGTGTAAGACAAACTGCAGTCCACCAGGACGCTGTTCTTGGGCTTCATTTGCAGTTATAACAGAACTTGTACAACCTAAACCTTGTGTCTGTTGACGAAAACTTAAATATCAGCACAACAAATGTCCACTGATTCAATGTGTCATATGAATGATGCTACGCTGCACAGTGTAGATTTAAATAGTGGTTAAAAACTTCACAGTGGAAGGAAAACACACACTCAGGTAGAAAAGCTTGACTTTACTGGGACGCTGGTGACAAACAAGCATTGATCACCAAGTGTCTGGTATTTGTTTTTTAGTGTTCTCAACATATAAAGAGAAAAAAGCCTGATGAGTGCTGCTGTTATTTATTCTATTCACTGCACCAAATTGAATATTTTCTTTTTAAAGAAAACCCATTTTAGGTCATCTTTCATCTGGAGTTTATGTAGAAAAGCAAACAGTGAAATCACAGTGGCTCTGACTCGCTCTGTCACCAGCGTCCGTCTGTCTTTGTGCGCCACATTATGTAAGCGTATAGAAAGTTGATGGTAGCATCGCTGCTTCTCCATATGTAGGAGATGATCTGATGAGATTATGAAGCACCTTTCTGCATAAATCTGCATGTTAATGAGCTAAAACAGCTTTCTCATAAACAGTTTTAACTCCTTGACTCTTCTCGCTAACAAGTTCAAATTGACACCAGATGTGCAGCGGGCACAGATAAATGTGTTGGTATAAAAAAAAAAAAACACTGCGATGATGGAGCTAATGAGCTTAATTAGGAGGAAGCTCGCTGTTCTCGTGAACGCGAGAGTTCCAGATAAACAGACAGCACAAGCCTCATACTTTACACTTAGATGTTGTGATTGGATTTCGTTGTTACCGGCTGCATAAATTAGCATATTAATGAGTTTTTTAATGTACCGGTGCCGCGAACATAAAGACAATCTGATTATATAATGCAACAAGCAAGACACTCTTCATCTTCTCATGAAGCAGAATCTGATCATTACTGGAACTGAAATCGTGAGCGCTCGTGGCTTCAAGAGAAAGTTTTAGAGAAGAATCTAGAAGATGTAATTATTGTTTTTTAAGAATAAAGGCGTGTGCCGAGTGGGACAGTTCACAACTCAAAACTAAACTTGTGGATTAAAGTTTAGGAATACAAATGTGTATTCCACTTTAACCCCCTTAATATTTAAATTTCACTATATTAACATCTTGTTCTTTTCACTACATTTATCTTTCATTTACAAATGACAGCATCCACAGAATCAAACTATA